TCAAGTCATTCAAGAACGACTATGAATACAAAGTTTTTCCAATGTCTAAGTGTATCTATGAGTTGTCAAATTTATATTTTAAAAAAAAAATCATATCATTTTCAAAATGTCCAATACATCCAAATGGGAAAGATAAATTTTTGAACGGTTTTGCATATTAATTCCCAGAAACTGACCACGCCCCCATGATATTAATTTGAATGGATGGTATTGATGATAGGGGGGTTCTGTTAAACTGATACGAGATTGGGACAAGATAAATGACAAACAAACGCTACCAGTAGTTAGTAGTACAGGAACGGTTTATTATATTATATATTATAAGGCAAGTGGCGCCATAAAGTTGTTGACCTTCTGTTTGGTTTGATAACAAACGACACTTTAAGATTTTCTAATGACGACAAGAGATAGTTCAATTATCAACATATAACAGCGATTAGTCTTTCAATTTCATTCAGAATCTAGTTATAATGAACCAGGTATTCGCCGAGGTACATTGTATACGGGAAAAAACCTACAATATTCTGGAACTGATTCATATCTCCCCCCCCCCCCCCCTTCCCCTCTCGAAAAAATTCTGACAACCGACCAATTCCATTACTGCAACTAAACAAAATAAACCATTGGAAATATGACTTGGTCCTCCGAACAAATAAGTCTAGCTCAAGGCCTGTTTCTTCAAAGGATCTTAGCAGTCTAATCAGACATTTCCAATGTGTCAATGAAGTAAGTATATTCGAAAAGACTGGCATTCCTAAAAAGAACCGCATAATAAGAAATGCTGTAAAGAATTCAAGGCTAATTATGCATGTAGGTATAAAATTATTTGTGTACATGTACTAATGGTTGTAGTGAAGTGAACAGGATCTATATTGTAATCATAATAAGCTAAACACTGTGTGATATATTTGTTTTACTGAAGATAATAATGTTATATTTTGTAATAATTGACACTAGAAGTGTTTGCCTATCTCATGCAATCTTCTCGATTCATTCTTTATTCATTGTTTACCCAATAACATAGCTTATACAGCCTTGGTCATTAACACTCTACTGATATTAAATATCTTCGCTCCGTTCTAGTCTCCATTCCTAATTGTCGATCAAACCCTACCGTACAAAAACGTTATTGTGCTGGAAAGAAGAGAAACGAACTAACAAATATTAATTTTGCGACACTCTAGTGGCAATACGCCTTTATTCCAATGATAATAGACGGGGAATAAACATTGACTAACAATAAAGTAGAGATTAATTAACCAGCAATTAGATAAATAGTTAAACATGTCAATGAGATGTTTAGAGGAGTAAATGGTATCAAACAACTGGTCAGTTCACATCTCGCGTGCCCTCCATTCATAACTGACAGGTCACGTGAACACTTCGAGATTGTGCGAGACAATTGACTGGAAACCGAAAGCTCAGTAAACACTTAAACTAAAAGCATGTTTTGTCCTTATTGAGACGATTGGCCATTACGTTCATGAAATAGAACACCAAAGAGTTTTGAAATGTTTGAAAATGGTTTTATAGGCCACTACAATTACCTCTTATCAATTTGTCGACTTTCTCCTTATTGTAATCTCCCTTGTCATTTGTTTGCCCAGTGATTTAATAAAGCCATAGTTAGGCCACACACAAGGATGTCGATCTTTACTCCTGATTATTTAATCTCCAACTTGTAAAGCACTTGAACATCATTGTGAATGGTTGATGGGGACACCTTGACGGTGGTTTTGATGCTGTTACAGTTAAAATGGACAGAAGCACCTGTTATCCAACTAACTATAAGCTAGTTAACTAACTAGTTAAAACAGAAATACCCAAAACAGGAAGAGCTTGACCATAACAAGAGTAAAAAAAATATTAATTACAGATTTACAGGCTAAGAGAGATCAGGCTATAAGGGCTCTGAAATGAAAAATAATTTGGTCAGGACGAAAGCGGTTTTCCCCCTTTGTATCCTATATGCCGTTGCTCGTCTTCATTAGCCCACAGAGTGCAGAAAAGTGGGACGTAAAACTACATTCATTCCGTTTCTGACCAATGTATAAAATGAATAATGGATTACTATGGATAGCTTGTAAGGAAAATGATAATATGATTCCCCTACATAATACAGCAACAACTTTTTATACAACATTACCGACTGTTATATCGATATATATGTTACTTTTCAGTGGCAACCATCTCCATTTAAAACATTTTTATACACCCACATCTCTCTATGTGGACGTATATTGTCGGCATCCCTGTCCGTCCGTCGGTCCGTCAGTCCGTCCGTCCGCCCTTTAACATCTATACAGTAGGTGCTTCTATCAACATCAATTGCTCTTAAACACTCTGTCCGTCCGTCCGTCAACATTTGCTTGTAAACGCTCTAAAAACTAGAATTTTTGATGGAATCAAATGAAATTCGGTATGTGTATACATATTCATAAAACGAAGATCAAGTTCGAATTTGAGCTATTTTCGACCGTTAAAAGAGTTATTGCCCTTGCCCCAAAATCTTGAATATGCTATTACTCTCTTATATTTCAACCGATTTTGATGAAACTTAAAATGGATTATTGGACCTAAATCGAAAGGTTTGAGAGAGTTAAGTTTACTTCTGATTAAATTCAAGGCTTTTTCAAGATTTAGGCCTCTTACGTCAGTTTTGAGGAGTTATCGCCCTTTAACCTCTATACTGTAAGTGTAAGTGCTTCTATCAACATCAATTGCTCGTAAACGCTCTAAAAACTAGATTTTTTGATGGAATCGCATATTCATAAAACGAAGATCAAGTTCGGATTTGAGCTATTTTCGACCGTTAGAAGCAGAGTTATTGCCCTTGCCCAAAAATCTTGAATATGCTATTACTCTCTTAGTTTTCAACCGATTTTGATGAAACTTAAAATGAACGTTTCGTTTTACCATCCGCATGCCGTGAAGGGCGTATATGGCTGTGGTCCACTATCTTTTTAATTTGAATCATTTTGGGGTTGTAATCAATTTTAACAAGTTTCGTTCAAATCCAGAAAGTATTTTGCCTTCGAGAGTATTACATGTTTAAATCAAAAGCATTTCGAAGAACAAGGGCAATAACTCATAGTAAATACTTTCTGATTAGTTGGTTTTTCAAAAGGGATCATCCTTGAGTGATAATCAATAACTTCAACGAATTTTGTCAAAATCCATCAAGAATTGTGTCTTTTGGAGAGTTTACAATATATTTAGATTTTTCTAAAGATAAGGTTCATCCTCGGGTGATTATAAATACAAGCACCAAGTTTCTTCAAAATCCATCAAGAATTATACCTCCTTGAGTGTTGAAACGGGATACAGTTTAATTTCACGAATTGGGCCACATCCTGAATAATAAAACTATTTAATTATATTACTTACTTTCTCTTAACAAGATGGGATATCTCTGTGAATTTGTGATTTTTCTTATGACATTTCAACAGTTTAGGACAGAGGATGCTTGCTCTTCCAAGTTGTGTGAATGTTCGCATGGTAAGGTAAATTGTATTAGACTAAATTTAACGTATATACCTAGACTTCCGAAAAAAACTTTCAGATTAGAATTTATACAGAATTATCTTCCAAATATTACAGAAGAAACATTTCAAAATATCAGTTCACTTAAAATCATAGATCTGAGATTAACATCTTGTAGAATAACTTTCATTCATAAAGATTCGTTCAAGAAATTTAGAAATTTGAGAAGGTTGGATATGTCCGGTAACAGTCTTACTCTGGATTCAGTTCGAAATGTCTTGTACTCGTGCAATGTTCACAGAATTGGTGGCATTTATTTGAGAAATATTCATTTAAACAAACTACCACCCAATGCATTCCAGGGACCATTGGAGTCTTTGTTAAAATTTGTGGATCTTTCCAGGAATAATCTAAAAATTGTTAACTTAACCGAATTTAAATCGTTGATAAATTTGGCCGATTTGAAAGTAGAAAGCAACAAATTAGAGAGAATCATAACACATCCAATGCCGCATCTAGAACATTTGTATCTAAATTCAAACTATTTAAGGGATGTGCCACAGTTCTGTTATGGTGATACAGCTCTCTTTCCAAAACTTAACTTACTTTTTATGCGCAATAATTCGATCTGTGAGTACATTCCGGAAAATGTGAATTGTTTGAAGAAGTTGGCACAATTAGATATAAGTGATAATTGTATGTATCTCGTTAAAAGCAATTCCTTCTCACGTTTACCACTTCTTAGTTTGCTGAGAATGACAAATCAGAGAAGTCCACGATCATCTCTGAGGTTTGAAAAATACGCTTTAAATAACAGTAACCTTGGTCAGCTTCTATTGCACAGTAATGGAATATTGATCAAATATTTTGATGAACTGACCTTTGTGGGTTGTCATAATCTACGATGGCTTGACTTTTCTTACAATACGTTATGTGGTTATATCCCGGAAAATATTGACAAAATAAATAGAGTTCTCTCCCCTCTTAAACAGCTACGTATTTTACAGCTTACATACTCGTACCTGAAAAATGTACCCAGTGTAATTAAAACTTTTCCAGACCTACAACAGTTAAAACTTGAAGGAAATAATATTGAGACATGGTCCAAGGGAACCTTTGATTCGAACCCTAATTTGACTCTACTTACTTTAAAATCAAACAAGATTAGAACTATCACCGAAGAGATGTTTTCAGCCAAAGTAAGGAAACAATTGATATCAATAGCATTGGATGATAATCCATACATCTGTGATTGTAATTTAGTGTGGTTTATACAATGGTTGAATCGGGATCACAAGAGGTTTATGTACTATCCTGAAGGTTATAAATGTGTTAATATCACAGAAAGAATATGTTTGAACAATATCGCCGTATTTAAATCAGTAATCGGTGTTTCGACTGTCATAATAATCGTTCTATTCATAATATCAATCATATTTAAATACAGGTGGTCGATTAAATACCAAATATACATCTGGAGACATCAGTCTAAGAAAATCGCGAATTTACAAGGGAGACAATATGAATATGATGTATTTGTGTCGTACAGTGCTGAAGATGGTAATTGGGTTTGGGATCAGCTAGCACCACGCCTGGAAGGTGAAGACAACCTGAAGTTGTGTGTTCACGAAAGAGATTTTGCTGCCGGTAGATTGATAATTGATAATATTGTAGAATCGATAGAAGACAGTCGTCATGCACTTATTGTGGTATCCAATAATTTTGCACGCAGTGACTGGTGTCAGTTTGAAATGACTCTGGCTCAGAAACATGTTTTAAATGAACTTATGGAGCCGTTGGTCATAGTGTTATTGGAGGATATTAAGATTGAGTATATGAGCAAGACATTGAAAGCCTTACTTTCAACTACCACATATTTGACGTGGAATGAGGATCCAGAAGTAGCTGCTATATTCTGGGAAAAGCTGAGGCGTTCTCTCAGAAATCATCACTGAAAATGATTAACTGATCGGCACTGAAAATTGGTAGTTATCTATGAAGAATATTAGCAATGTTTTCCCTTTTTTTCAAAGTTGTTTTGTATGTATATTATTACAGGTTTAAGATAAGCATGCAATCATCGGTTTTTTGCTTTTTATATAGGCTAATCGTTGCATTCTTTGTATTCCCATTATCTTACAGTACTCTGTAACAGATACAATAAACAACCCATTTCGATGCAACCAAATATGTACATCTAGTAGTTATCTCGGCTATGTTATAAATTATACACAAATAACTGATATAACCATCCAGGTGAATGTGTTAGGTTTGGTTTGGATTATCGATACTTAAATCCAAAAACAGTTGTTACGAAAATGTATATTGCTTTTATTAAAACTATGTCAACTTCACATATGATGTAAAACAATTTGGTTTGTGAGATTTCTTGTTCACGGCAAGAGGAATTGCATTGATAAAAATATTTGGTTCTTCGTCATCAGAAAGAGCTAAGTCAGACGACTCGTCACTTGTATCTATAGCTTTTTGTGGTTTCGGTGTTGGAAGATATTTAACCCATACCATGTTCCCCTGAGGTATCCATGTATAACCTAAAACTTGGGCTTTTTTAATTCCAAGATCGTCTTTTGTAGGTATAAAACCGTAGGCTACTTCTTTGTTAGACGTTAGTTTGTGTGTCATGGCTTTTAACAGTATTTCCCCGTATCCATAACCTCGATGGTTTTTATTCACATGTAACATTGCCATCGACCCATTAAATTGCATACAAATATATGCGAGTAGTTCGCCTTGTTCATTTATCAGCGCACTACTGTCAAAGTTTTTTATCACACGTCGAAAATAAATATCTAGGTCACTGCCACCACGCACATTCTTCCAATCACATTGTAATTGTTCTGCATGTTCTGGAAATAATGTTGTAAGTTTGATACCTTCAGGAATCCTGAAACATGTAGAATACTTGATATTTTTTACATTACAATACATACAACTGTGAAGTAATATATAATTGACTAATTTCCTTCATACAGACGTCATATTATTGAAAACTATTTCTGTTCATATGAAACTGTGTGTGTGTTTTTTCTGGCTACCAAATGAGCACTTTAGGTCGATAGATTGTTGCATTAAACAAGTTTATGCAGTGAAGTATCTTAAGCTTTTGACAAAACCGACTGAACAACTGGAATGCGAATTTAAGATATTATAATAGTCAATGACGAGTCTCTTACTTGGGCATTTCAGGTGGTTTAGTAGTCCAACAGTACATAAATCTGGGTTCTATATATGGCAAGTGTCCACCATGTTTTCTACAGACTTCGTGTATAACTGGTAAAATATCGTACGGTACACCTGAAATATCAAATATTCAACTGGTTGAAATACAGCTCTGAATATTTTAGTACATTGTACGTTTTCCAACAAATTTTACTGATTATCTGGATAAATACATAATCAAAAAAAATTGTAAGTACACGACGGAACAATATAATCCAATAAATCCATAAACCGGAGTAATTTTGAAAAACCTTTAGATAATGCATATATTGTTAATATAGAGCTTCTGTTTTTTAGTCATGGCACCTGGTAAGTCCAACTGATGAATATATACTCTTATTGACCAAGTTAAAGAGTTTAAATCTTATGTCCATTTTAAGAGGTAGTATACCTTTAAGATAATGACGATTTACCTGTAAATGTAGCAGGTTTTTTCCAGTCTATGACACCTGGTCGTTGTATAAAAAATTTAAGAGACGCAACACTTTTGGCATAACAAATATAGAAATGTTCAAAATAACCAGGTACCTGAAATAATTATAGTTTGTTTACAAATATTCATAAAAATTACATCCCGGCCACAAGGGCCTAATCATGAGAATCTAACCAACAATCACTTAGATATTATAGCTACATCAGTAGCTAGTTATATGGCTGCTTGCTTTGTTACCTTTGTTTCGAATACCCTCAATTCATGAAAACTTTCTGATGTCATGCGTAAATTGGCATTTTGTGTTAACTACCAGGATGCTGCACCCACATTTCTGTTAAATTTGTAGGAAGTTTCAAATAAATACAGGAAATTGATGATTATTATTCACTCATTTCAAATAGTATTATTTTGAAATATTATTCAATGTATTATACAACTACGAGGAATTATGAGTAGTAAGCTTTGATGACATCTGATTATAAATTGCCCCGACTTATGTCCTTGTCGTATGTAAATAAATATAAATTACCTCTTGGTCCGACCCTGGTTTCAATATAATACAAGTCCATTCTGGCCAATTATCAACTATCACCTCAAAACCTTCCATTAACCCTAGTAAATAATTTCTTAATACATAGAAGATCTGAAATAATAATAATTTGTGTCATCTTAACCATATTAGACCTACTTCTTTCATCTGATTTTTTGCAGGCTAAAGAAAAGTATGTCCAGAATTATGTAATTATCACAAACAGTATCAACCGATGAAAAATTCTAAAGCGTCTAAATAAGTGAAAAAAAGAAGTTATATTATATATATCTAGATCATTCCCATAGAAACTTTCTGAACTAATGCTTCAAGCAACAATCTGTGGAAATATTATATTTTTAACAGCCGAATAAACTAAAATTAAAAAACCTAAAATTGTGGAGAGTTCTTTGATATACTTGGTTGCGTTTTTGATAGCTTTTAACAATAACTAGATGTGAATGATTTGGGGAGATAATCAATTGGTATTTTATTTACTCGTTTTATACGCACACATGGAAATGTGGACGTATATTGCCGTCGCTCCTGTCCGTCGGTCCACATTTCTTGTAGGCGCGATAGAGGCTACAGTTTTTATCCGATCTTGATGAAACTTTGTATGAATGTATATATTGATGAGATCTCGATCAAGTTCGCAATTGGTAATAATCGAATGAACGGTTTCAGACTTTTTGCCCTTTACTTAGTAAAAACGCGTCAAATTTGCCTTGTAGGCACGATAGAGACTACAGTTTTCATCCGATATGCATGAAACTTGGTATGCATGTTTGTATTGATAAAATCTCAGTCAAGTTCGAAATTGGTAATAATCTGATGAACGATAGAGACTACAATTTTATCTGATCTTGATGAAACTTGGTATGTATCTATATATTGATGTGATCTCGGTCAAGTTCGGAATTGGTAATAATGAGATGAACGGTTTCAGAGTTATTGCCCTTGACTTAGTAAAAACGTGTCAAATTTGGCTTGTAGGCACGATAGAGACTATACAATTTTTATCTGATCTTGATGAAACTTGGTATGCATGTATATTGATGAGATCTCAGTCAAGTTCGACTTGGTAATAATCGGATGGACAGTTTCCGAGTTATTGCCCTTGTCTGTACAGCGATGAGACATTGTTCATGTTTGAATTTCATGATAACTTGATGAATTGTTTCAGGATTTTGCCTTGATTAAAAATGATCTTAAGATTATTTGAAAAGGCATTATTAAGCCACTAAAGATTTTGTTATCATTTCTGACAGCTGGTAGTGGACGTACGGTACCTTGCCTGGCAAGCTATCTTTGTACTTGCTGTTCATAAAACTTCAATAAAGTTTGGTTGCATAATAACATATAACCCCACTGTCAAGGAATTTCATAACTTAAGGCATTTCTAAGAGTATGAAGACTGGCCTTCAATTTATTTCTATTTTCTATATGTCATGTTTAAATTGTAGCTAAAATGTAAATAAAACACGGGGTAACTTGACATGTTAGAATCTACCACACCTTTATTTTTGTTTCAATATAAGCTCGCAGATTCTGATATGTCGAGCAGCATAGGGGGATACAACCAAACAGCACACAAATCTGTCGTTGTAGTTAATGGAAATGTTTCATGTATGTCTTGATTAACCTACACAGATTATGCTATTTGTAAATTCTGACCGAATAGTTTAAATCACCTTGTAGAGTTGCGACGACCCCCGCACTACCCTTCCTCGATTTTAAACCTGTTACTTGCTAAACTAAATATTTTGCGGAAATCTATAATCCACCTTTGAGGTCTCAATATACCCCTGGTCGAACTAAGGCATATACTTGAGTATGTAATAGATTAATAAAGAATGTATTTAGATCACCTTGAGGCAAGTACAAGTTCATATTGGAAAGAAATGTATTTGTTATAAATGTAATGTCAATATTTTAGATAAGATTTGTCTGCTGGACATTGGCCAATAATTCATATAAAGTACATTTAATAAAATAATCAAAACCCAATTCGCTAGATAACTCTGAACACACATGGATTTGAAGGCTTTGAGACTAATTTACGGTTGGTCAAACGGATGGCGAACCCCTATGATAAATCATATCATTCGTCATATTTGTTGGTCAAACCATTAGAAACAAATTTGGAAAACATAATATATATTCCGAAACAACTTCCGTACACGATACGTGTATCTTTGTTTATACATGAATTGAAATATATTTTCAATTTAGAATAATTTACAAGTAACTGAAAATAATTTCAAACCTTCAAAATTCTCTTCAATCCATTGACAGATAGACTATCACAGAAAATTAGTATACATAAAAATTGGGTTCATTCTTGAAAGAAATTTGTGTTACAACTTAAGGTGTTAATTGATTTTTCGTTATACCACATCCACCACAAACTGTATGTCAGTATATTTATACTATATCTTCCGTGAAAATCATTAACATTAACAGTCTTGGTACCTGGGGTACTAAAGTATATCCTAATGGTAGCAACATTACTCTCATGGACAAGGTTGTACCAGAGTCGTCTAAATACAATATGTGTAGCCAGGATTTGGATCAGTGGAACTTATGAGAAATGATATCTAATGATGTGTTTTGACATAATAAGATAGCTTGCCAGGCAAGGTAATATACGCCCACTGGCAGATTTGATTTTGAATAGAAATATTGAGCAGTACAGTAACAATTACCAGTATGAAATATTCAACCTTCAGTCATACCACCCGATTCGCCTTTTATTAGTTTATTCTTTCAAGAAGTTGTTAGTGGCTATTACTGCTTATAACATAACAAAGGCGCCTTTCCGCCTCCAGAGGTAAATGTTAGTTGCTACGAACAGCTAACAAAGGCTAACAACTTCTTGAAAGAATCAACTAATAAAAGGCGAATCGGGTGGTCATACACCTCTTTTGAACTCTTTAGGGCGATACTGAATAATATTGATTAAGTTTTAGCTCGTGAAAACTCTAGAAGGCAAATATTCAATCTTCAGAACGGGACTGAATAATGAAACCAAGTTTTGTCAAAATCCAGTAAGAATCATGCCTTTTAGTGTTTAAGAGCTAAACAAGGACAATAACTCATACTAAATATTTTTCTTCTGATTTTCAATGGGGTTCATCCTTGGGTGATAACGAACACTCATGCCAAATTTCGTTAAAATCCGTCAAGAATATTATTGTGCCTTCTAGAGTGTTTACAAGCTAAAAATTGAACGCGTTTTCAAGAATAAGGGCAAAAACTCATACTCAATATTTTTAGATTCTTCTGATTTTCAATAGGGTTCATCCTTGGGTGATAACCAACACGCGTTTTCAAGAATAAGGGCAATAACTCATACTAAATATTTTTCAATTTTTCTGTTTTTCAATACAGTTTATCCATGGGTGATAACCAACACTCATGCCAAGTTTCGTCAAAATCCGTCAAGAATTGTGCCTTCTAGAGTGTTTACGAACTAAAAATTGAACGCGTTTTCAAGAACAAGGGCAATAACTAATACTAAATATTTTTCAATTTTTCTGATTTTCGATAAGGTTTATCCTTGGTTGATTACAAACACTCACACCAAGTTTCGTCAAAATCCATCAAGAATTATGCCTTCTAGAGTGTTTACAAGCTAAAATTTAACGCGTTTTCAAGAACAAGGGCAATAACTCATACTAAATATTTTTCAATTTTTCTGATTTTCGATGGGGTTTATCCTTGGGGGATAACGAACACTCATACCAAGTTTCATCAAAATCCGTCATGAATTGCACCTTCTAGAGTGTTTACGAGCGTTTCAAGAACAAGGGCAATAACTGATAGTAAATATTTTTCGATTCGTCTGATTTTCAATAGGGTTCATCCTTGGGTGATTACAAACAACCATACCAAGTTTCGTCGAAACCAGTCAAGAATTGTGCCTTGTAGAGTGTTTACGAGCAATTATGGATGGACGGACCGACGGACCAACGGAAAGAGGTGACGGCAATATACGCCCCCCATTTCATGTGGGCGTATAAAAATGATGATATTTACACGAGAGATAGAGATCATCCAAATAAAAGAACAATTTAAAGACTGGTGTAGAGATATATTGATATTCAAGTTAAAATCTACGTTTCAGTGTCACAATATAACATCGATCCATCTTGATTATTGACTAGTGTGTAAATGTTGATCGATAACAAGATCCAGTGTTATTGACAAGCATTACACCATCTGGACATTATGATTAGTTTGGACCATGTTATTACCATGTTCTGTTCTCGTGATGGTCAGTTAAATGGTCAGTCGGGCAGTTATCTATATCAAATTGTTTACCCGGACTTCATTGGTCATTTGTCACATCAAATAGAATTAAATCAGTGGATCAGACAATATGAAAGGTGAAAACCTGTTTACAAATCAAACCATGATGAACCCGAGACATCTTAATATACAATATAATCATTATACACCACATATGAAGATTGACATTTAGTATAAATAAAATAAACAAATTGAATTTCATATGTGTATGTAATACAATATTACATATTATGTTTTTTATACCCTCTATGATGAAAATGAACATCTTTGAGTATCTATTCATTTTTCGAAGACTATCCAAGTAGAAATACAGCACATTTTGTGTAACTAGATATTTTGATTAGGAGCTAAATTTCAAATTTGTGTCTAGTCATTGTAACATGGACCCACCTCACCAAAATCTACACTTATTCACATACACATTCACTTCTATTGATTCGTTATCAAACGATATATATCTAAATCTAAATATTCAGATAGAAGAATCATTCGGAACTTTTAGATAGTAACAAAGCTGAGTCTATGAACTAATATTTCAGTAATTTTGATTCAGAAAATGATGATAGTAATTGAGATGTTCTTTACCTTAGCTGATCCCGGAAATTCGATCTTTAGTTCATCTGTTAGTTGATCTACTTCAGTCTTGGTGATAACCTGATAAATCATGCCAGTGTATTGTTATCTATTGTATGATCTAGAAAAATAGAACAGGTCCAATATTATTGGTAGAACCTGGGAGAGATAAAGATTACAAACTTTAAAAGTACAAATGACTTGTGTCTAATATTTCGCACCCATCTAATCTACTTTATATATAGTTCCAGCTTCAAGAAAGAAGTCTTCGTCGAAAGATACAATAAACGCGGAAATATCTATATACCTATATGTGAATTTTAATATTACAATTAAATTCATTAGAAGCCAACAGCGTATAAATACAAAATCTCGTGTCACTATAAACATTATTTATTATATATCTTTACCTAATAACGCACAACTGAATATCTCGATCAGTAACATGTGTCGCTTTAACACCAGTCCTTAACAAAGGTTTAAATAGATATAGTTGTATGAAGATGTCGAGGCAAATAGAATTCGTTGTGTTTACTTTAAGTACCGTCTTTGGTTTAATTATAAGTAATACTGCAGTTTCATTGATTTTTTCATAATATTTGTGATCGTTTGATACCTTGCATCGAGTTCAACCACTCATAATAACTTATTATCCGCAATAGGCCACAGAAAGCATCTTTCTTTAAAACAATTCAGACGATAATGAATTATTTTCAATCCTAGTTACACGACTATGTATAATAAAGGTTTCCTCTTGAAATAAATGTGTGTGGCTTTGGAAATGGGAACATCTGTGATGAATATATAAATTCCAATCCAATAAATTCCTAATTGAATAAAAGTATTGTGATTTTCACAACATTATCATAATGAGATCTGCTTCGCGGTTCTTAACGGTACTTGAACACGTGATCCGCGTGTGATAGACGGTCAATAAAATAGATAACCAACCTCAACACAGTAATATCTTCAATATATTCTTTTGCTACTTGAATATTAATTTAATAGTTCTATTAATCTTACCTTACGATTTGTGTTCTTTACCAGTAATCCAATACTATCGTCAATACAACAAGGCGTTGAAGGCAGGTTTTCACAATGAATGAATGCTTTCATACATGTATACTATTATAACCTACATTTACTGATCACGTGATTTTCACTACTGAACAGTGGGGCCTTAGATTCAGAATTTCGTAGGTCAACAAATACTTAATATACAAAGGAAATCCCCACGAGCAGGCCGACCACGATTTACCAGCATGTCTCTGAAATAAGACCGAGAAGGTCGAACTAAAAATATTTCATTCGAGTCGTGGATAATGTTAGGTGAGTTAGTAATACGGAAGTTAGACATCTTTCGAGGAGATAATCTCCTTACGGTGCAGTAAGGTATATTAAAATACAGATGTGACGTCATCCTTCGATCTTTACGAACCAATATCCAACTTATTGGTATGGACATGGTGTCAAGAGTACATTAGGATTGGAGTAATAATAAGAGTAATAATTCTCTGAGTACTCCTAGACAATGTTAATTTAGTATGTGTATAGTGCAGTCATCTTATGAGATGTTGCATATATTGTAGTTGGAAAGTTTTTATTAATCACAGCATGTGACTGGCTGTGACACATCAAATGTCCCCATAATGAAATGCAAATGTCCCCACTTTGGGACAAATTCACCGCCCGAATTACTGCCTACTCCATTTATTCAAAACTAATATAAGGCAATAGATTCAACCATCATTTCATTTTAATACAATTTCTGTTTAACCCTGGTTCCACCTCCATTTCAATGGTACAATCATAGTTATCTCTGATATAATTATTGGTTTACTGTGATACAAACACTATTTACTCTAAAAGAATTGTTTTTAACTTTGATACAACCATGATGATTATTGTACAACCTTTTTTATACTCTGGCACAACCTTCTGTTTTAATTTGATACAACCATTGCTGTATTCTGGTACAATGGTGTTTTTAATTATGATAGAAACATGTTTTTTTGATATTTTTTATTATTATTAACATACTCTTATTATTATCTCACCACCAAACAAAATGGTTTGTACCCTCAAGAAATTGTATATGTTTTTGCTCCAAACTGTGTGCAAGAATCCACCAAATCATTTTATTTTCAAGCTTTTTATTGGGGAGAACGTTCCGTGGCACAAATGGTGCTTCCACAGAGCTGTCGTATTTTGAATTCAACATCGACAATTGTCCCCTTGTTAAATCAGTCTGGCCCCTTATTGAACTCCTTGGGAGGCTGGTGACACCTCTACCCTAATCTTTTATACAATCATTGTGTACATCCGCCACAGCCTTGCTTAACTCTGACACAGTCATTGTTTTATTCAGATGAAACCATTAATACAACCATTACTTGTTCTGACACAACTATTATTTTACTATGATACAATCATTGTTTTACTATGACAAACTATTATTTTACTCAGATACAACCATTGTTTTACTCTGATTCAACCATTGTTTTACTATGATACAACCATTGTTTTACTCTGAAACAACCATTGTTTTACTATGATACAACCATTGTTTTACTCTGAAACAACCATTGTTTTACTATGATAAAATATTATTTTACTTTGATACATCCATTGTTTTACTCTGATTCAACCATTGTTTTACTATGATACAACCATTGTTTGACTCTGAAACAACGATTGTTTTACTATGATAATGTATTATTTTACTCTGAAACAACCATTGTTATACTATGATAAACTATTATTTTACTCTGATACAACCACTTTTTCAACCACTGATTCAACCTTTGTTTTACTATGATACATCCATTGGTTTACTCTGAAACAACCACTTTTTCAACCACTGATTCAAACTTTGTTTTACTATGATACATCCATTGGTTTACTCTGAAACAACCATTGTTTTACTCTGATTCAACCATTGTTTTACTATGATACAACCATTGTTTGACTCTGAAACAACGATTGTTTTACTATGATAATGTATTATTTTACTCTGAAACAACCATTGTTATACTATGATATAACTATTATTTTACTCTGATTCAACCACTTGGAACGAAGTTCTGTTTTAATTATAAACTGTAAAAATGAAAAGCAGGAAAACCCAGTAAAGGAATACAAGTCCGTCATTAAAAGACAAATTGCGGCTAAAAAACCCTAAAATGTGGCAAATTAAAACAACTGTCCTCTTAAACGAAGGGATGGTGTAGATTTACGATCGAATCCAGTAAATTTAAACAATTCATTGTGAAAAGAAATTTAGACTCAATAGTCGGTAATAAAAAAAAATAGAATTGGTACAACGTTTTGCGTCTTAAAAAAAACAACATAAAATGAAATAACGTATGTGTATTTATTTTCAGGAGCGGAGGCTAGAATGAATAATTATGTATTGAGACATGTCTCAATGAAAACACTGTCCAAGGATTAAAGTTTACTAACGGTTTGAGTTGAGACTTGGATGAATCAGAGTGAAAATGAGAAATGAAGAAAATTCGCGATTTGCCTCCTACCTTTGAACATGGACAATCAAGTTTTGATCGAGATATTTTGGATAGAGGTTCCATTATTCCACAAAATGTTCTACTAAACTCAAGGCCAAAAGAAACTTTAAAAGTTAATTTTAGCAACAAAAAAAAAAGAAAATATGTGGCAAGTTGAACCTTAAATACATTACTCAAATCACTGCTCATTGGACTGAGAAAATCACGCAACGATAAAAAATCGCACGAATATTTGCACGACTGATAAAACAATTCGATCAAGCTCTGAGAATGCTACAAGTGGAAGCCACCCGTACTCACATCGCAAGAACCTTCAGTTGTTCCCGTGTTACTGTAACAGTTGATGCAACGTTACAGGCAGACATGGCAGACAAGATAGAAGTCTAGAACGGACAAACCAAGAGTGACCACACCACGTGATGACCGGTACTTGCTTTTCTTACATCTCCAGAACCGTGACGTTATCAACGAACTATGCGTTAGATCACAGGGTCAGTCGACAGACGCCTCCCGAGGTTAAGGAATCGGGACTTACAGACCGTACACGGGGCAGTTATTGACAACTCAACATCGACGTGAGCGTGGTCTTCGGTGATGAAGTTCAGAGTTTGTGGGAGGCAGAGAGGTTATCAGGATGTGAGGTGAGGGATGGCGCCATGAAGAGTTCAAGAGGTGGTACCATATGAGAGAGAGGGAGTGCCATGGTGTGCAGGGGTAACTTTGGACAGGAGAAGACTCCACTGGTTATCGTGACGGCAATTTGACAGCTCAGCGTTACGTCGATGAAATTCATTTCTCAAGTTTTCAGTTATCAGTATGACAACACCAGATCCCATACAGCCAGAATCGTTTGGCTTCTTTGAAACCAACAGATATCAACTTGTTGCCGTGGCCTGCATGTTTTCCTGACATGTCCTCATAGAATATCTCTGGGATATCCTGGAACGTCGTGTTCGCCAGCGACCGGGCCCTCCAGCTAATCCACAAGAATTCAAGCCCTCCAGGAAGAATGGCGAAATAACCCCCCATTACCTAATCAGACGAATAACTTTATCAGTGTGTCGGAGAGCATATGCCTGCATAGAATCTCAGGGTGGTCATGCAAGCTACTAATGTGACTGATATTGGACATTGTAGCAGTTTTCTTTTTGCATTCTAAATTCTGATTGCTCGATTTTTGTACCCCACCTCACTCTGAGTAGCTTTACTCTGACATCATAAACGGAAGCTATAAAGTTGTCTAAAACATTTCAATCCAATCACTTCTATTGTGTTTTCAAACCTCGGTAAAGTATTGGCCTTCAGATTTTTTGGGACCGTTGTGATTACATCTATATCTAACTGAATGTTAGTCATGGGGTCAGAGCAATGAAATGACCACAAGACGTTTCAAAACTTTATTATAACAAAAAATCTGAAAGTACGAGAAAAATATGATTATATAACAATCAGAGATATTAATAAATTAACGGGAACAGGTGCGCTATTTTGGGTGGTTGATCTGAGTCTTAAATATATGTGAATAATCTTTAGAAGTACTAGAAATGTACGAAAATCGCACAATTCCTTCAAAAACAACTTTGTTATCATATAGCTGTTCTGCAACTGAAGGATTTTTATACATCTAAAACTGGTTGATATTGTATTGTGTACTGAATGAATCAGTTCATATGGAAGTATATGTACCTCTCATTTGAAATGCATGGATTGTATATGAAGATCTCAAGACAGGCCCGTAACTACATGGGACAATGCTGACAAATTCTGACAATCGACCAATTCCATTGCGGCAAACAAACATTACCCCTCCGAACAGTTTGGCTACGAGTCTGTTCCAAGATAAAGAGAAAGGCCAGTGGTTGTTTTTGAAGGAGTTTATATTATTATAGTAATTGTTGGAATAACTGAATAATATTATAAATACCAATTACCACTTAAAATATTGATAATGATTTATGTTGTAGAGGATAGTGAATGTAAATTCTTAGAAATTGTAAAAATGGTCATGAGGTCAAAGAGTATAACAAATATTGATTCATTATTAGGGAAAATTTCTTGCGGCTCTCCCCTCCCCGATTTTTTCCTTGCTTTTTACGTTTTGTTTCTTTTCGTTTCAGCCTTCTCGCTTTTGTCGTAAATTTCCGGTGGACGAGAATCGATGAGAGAAATAGTCACTGTCAGGTTCCATAGTTATTAGTCCGTCGAATCTTTCTGCTGGTGACATCTGCAGGAATACAGCAAGGTTTATACCTATTAAAATCTTCTAGGCCTACATTTTAAGATATATTATAAATTGGGATTTATAGCAGTCTCAATCGGTCATGATCTTTTATTCAAAATAAGAATTAATTCCTTCATGCGTAATTTTATTGAGATGTTACATTTCAATTTCTCAGGAGCCAATTTAACGTCAAAGAGGGCTATTGAGTATTTATATCAAATGTAAACTTTATGTTTTTATTAACATCACTGTTGCACTGTCTGTATGCTACTGATATAAAGCTGATTTTCTAATTGACTGAAAAACAATCAGTAATATTCAACTTTTGGACAACAGTACGACGACAGTAGTATATCAGTAGCAGTTGGTTGGTTAATAGGTGACATGTTAAGGTCGGCTTCTAACAGAAGTTGGTTGTTTGGTACTGATGATTAGTTGAAAACATCAGATCAGATCGGGTCGAATGGCAAGTCGATAAAACTCGGTCCTGGTAGTATGCGTGAGTCACTCGAGTCACTCTTCATTTTTCCAAACCTCGTTATGATCATGGTAATTATGTTTTGTGTTGATAGTAGTCTAATGGTAGTCGTTGGTTTGTTTTGGTTATCTGTTATCAATTTGAAAAGTGGAAGACACAAAAAATGAAAATAAGAAAAATGTGGATTGCTTCGCTTGCTGACATGCTGACAATAAGACTTTTATTGTTAATCTGCCACTTGGTCGCTTTTGACGCTTTGCATTGGTATGTTTCAAAACTTATATTCTACCGAAATCGACATTTATTATTTAATGGTGTGGGCATGGATCAATACTCATTTATATTCAATACACATAATGAATATATAACAATATAGGGATCAAATGGTATTATTCTGTGATCTTTTTATCCAAGTACAATTACAAGTTTTACCCATCAGATTGGTATCTGAGATAAAGAATATCATAACAATAAAGAGTAAGGGCCACATCGGCATCATACATGACAAAAACACACACACAATATTTTTATAATACATGTACCATAATTCCTTTATCAACACTGTGTTGTAAAAACCTTTTATCACTTTTATACAAATCCTGCATGTTTTCAAAAGTTATGGTTCTGCATATTGCACGTATGTGTCATCAGGAAGTAAGTTTCAACTGAAGATACGTTATCAGATTCACTGAAGTTAGTAAGGCCAGCAGCATCTGTCTTTATATGCATCTAGTCAATCTATAATTTTTGTAAAACATCAGAATGTCATTACGAATAACTTGTGTATAAAAGGAACAAGGTCAGTACTTTTAATCATAAAAAAAACACAAAACAGGACTGCTTCTTTAATGTATCATGACGCGAGTTACTGCAATTTTAAATCAAGCATACTATTGGTGTTTAACCCTTCAGATTTATACATGATTTTAGATTGGGATATTATACTAATTCCTATCTATCAGAATATATTAGACAAGTTTTAGGGTATAAATACATTCTAATAAATCATTGAATACGACACTCCTATTATAAACATGGTGCCTCTAATATTTCTCGTTTTTGTTGTGTTTGGAAAAGGTAAGTCAAATACTTTCTGGACATTCTTTTGTTTTTGACTTTATATTTTGTTTTCACTACAAAAACTGAGAAATAATTATTCGGATGACAAACTCTCTTTTATGTGCCATAATTGCTTTGATTGTTGAATGATGCACAAAATAATAAGAAGTGACAGAAAATGATAGAGCGTGACAAACTCTTTAATTTTCACTTCGCCTGTTTTCACTTAAAAAGGAGACCGAAGTAATCTAAATGCTGCTTTACTTATATTATCAGTTATATTCAGGGATTATACTCTTGTAATTCTAATAAAGCTTTCTTATTACTTTGCTCTTCCTCTCTCAATCGTTCAAAGCTCATGTAAATTGAGACCTGGTGACGGAAATGGCGAATGGTAGACTATTTTACATTGCTCGTACGTTTCTCTTAATTTACAGGTGAAAGTAACATGTTAGAACAACAACACGATGACTGTATCTGGCAAGTCTATGATTGTTACAAAGAATTAACACCAATTTATAATGCTATACAAAGTTTTAATCTAGAACCATTGTCCAAGGGAAGAAACCTTATTAATATTTGCAGGTACAGTACATAATAATAGTTGTCTGTTTCTTTATCTATCTACATGTAATACATAATGTGATATGAATACAATATTAATAGACGTTTGTTGTTTTTTATGGAAGCCTGCTACTGCCATATTACCCTAGACTTCTCGCGACAAAGCGAGGAAAAAGGCGAGAGTAAAAAAGGCGAGACGTCGAGAAAGCGAGAAAAAAGGCGAGACGTCGAGAAAGCGAGAAAAAAGGCGAGACGTGGAGAAAGCGAGCTTTTTTTTTTACCCTCGCTTTCTCGCCTTTTTCCTCGCACATTTTTCCTCGCTTTCTCGCCTTTTTCATTCATCTTTATAATTTTTTTTTTAAATCGTTCAGTTTATTTATTTAAAAATTCAACACAATCGTACAAAATTGATTTCGAAAGAATGTAAATTAACATTATCTTAATACACAAGCTTTTTAATCCGTTATAGCTGAAACGAGAATACAAAAAAAATGATTTTCGAAAGGGTGAGGATACAAAAAGCATATCTGATCATTTTTCCAGACAATTACCATTGGCCATGCAGTGCCAGAATGCGTACAAGTGTGATGCCAGTGAGAGCACTAAGAAATACCTTCAATCTTCAACAGAGATATACAATTTTGTATGTAATGAACGAGTTGGTAAGATAACTTTTCATGACATTAAATGGAATTTTTAGGAAATCATATAACGAAATTTTAAGATCTTTTAAAAGAGAGTGAATGTGTTTAATAAAGTTATATCTAGTTAAAACGGAAGTTTATGCAGGACAAAGTCTAAAGTTATATTGGTACTACGTTATTTTTTTCAGCAATAAAAATGGAAAGAAAATGTTGGAAGAATTTGAAATACAAACAAAGTTTAAAGGAATGTACGTCAGAGTTTAAACTGAAATCTCAAAATGAGGTCTGCAGGTAAGAACAAAAATCTTACTTTAAACTGCAGAAGCAATTCATCCCAAAGGAGGCATGGCCGCAGCTATAGGGGAAAAACAAGGTCTGGCTATGGGCCTGAAAGGGCTGCAGGACAGAAAGTTTCACGTCAGTATCACATTACTGATTAGGAAAATGAAGAAGCGTTGTTGTTTTGAGGTTTTTTTTTTAACCTAAAAATATGGAGTACCTATAATGCATTTACTCCCATTAAAAGTAAAATATCGCTAGTGGTGGTCCATCTCTAGTCGATTTTTATGAAATATAAGTAGATACCAACTGTAAAGTGGTTTTCACTTTGCCAAAGTACTAGAAAATGTTTTCATTTTTATTTCAGTGATGTCAGTATTCTGAAGAATTGTTTATCAGATAGACTTAGCGCTATAGACGATTGTTCTGTTTTGGCTGAAATATTTCTCGATTACCTTGTCGATAAAGTTAGTGTACATTTCATAGGCAATGCATGTTAGATGACAGCACTGATGGCAGTATCAGTCAGAAAAACAGGGAGGGTTTTTCGGCTCGGGACATTTCCTTTAAATACTGTACATGTGGCAATAGTATCACAGTGACAAGCTTGTATAATACATATTTATTACACATCATAATGAAATCATGCATTAAACTTTGTAGATCGATAATCCTACATTTTGTACATCTATTAATAGCATGATTATGCAAAACCTTTCAGCGTAAATTTATGATAAAAGCTAACAAGTAACCATACAACTGATAAAAGAATAATTTTGCAATTGTTTTTTGTATATATAATTAAGTTCTCTGATGTATTTTCTCTCTAATATTTCATGTTACCATCAATTTAACTGTTGTTTAAATTTGTCCCCGGGTTCTGAAACTCGCATTGACAATCTGCAGATGCATAGAATAGTATTTTTGGGAATCATAAGAAACTACTAGTGAGGACTAATGTCTTTGGGCGATGAAATTATACAGGCCTAACGCCGATTGTGAAGTACATCATCAAATCAGGCGCATTCGTAATCCAAGAGGGTTAGATAGGGAAGCTAATAAATGGTTTCAATTAGTTATTTGGATGACGTTAGAAAGCGGCTGGTCCAGCTTTGCAACCATCTTTCAAATTTAAAAATCATGATACATATCGAAGGAATTGCCAGGGAGCCTATTGAGAGCGATGATAATTTGTTTTAATCTTTCTTGATTGATGCTTTGTCATCAAAGAAACGACTACTTTGGAATTCAATTCAATTTTCTCGTATTCCTAGCTCGTTGTAGTCTGTTTTTGTAACATAATCATCGAATGAAAAGAGTTGTCCCCCTTATTCAACCTTGACCTATTTATATTAGATGACTGTTTGTACCTCCTTTATAAAAGAGCTATGATTTAACATGTCGGAACTATCCGAGAAAGATGATGACAGGAATATCTCTTATGATTTTAATCCCGTGGTAAGTAAGCTGTTTTATATTATTGAATATAAAAGACTAACTTGTTGCATGTCATGTTTTGGACTGACAATTGTTATGGTCTAATAATCTTGTGTAATATTTCGTTCTCCTAAGTTGAAACGACAGTATTATTACAGTCAAGTAATCTAATTTCGTGGAAACCTATTATTCGTGGATTTCTGGAAAGGATTAATAATTTACATGAGCGACCTTGCGCGACCTCCGCATTAGTTTGTTTTGTTAAACATGGGTTTTCTCTACAATGCCAGCTAGTAGAATGAATCCAGTAGTTTCTAGCAAGGTAAAAGTATTAATGTATACTTTGACAAATACAAAATGGCGGATTTCAGTTATTACCAAACGTCACCATTTTTTATCGGCCAAATTTCCTTATAATCCCAAGCGGTAATCTGAATTCCAAGTGTCGTCTGCTAGAATATATTCCAACGAATGAAGTCGCGTGATCAACTAGCGGATTCTGTGTCAGCAGAAAATTTCTATGGAACACAAAGTGGACCATGTTCTTATGTTGTTTCAGTGACTTTTAGCAAGAAAATCAAGCTACGTATCTTATTTTGTCAGTCACTATTTTTATTAAATCGTGGTTCTTTGAAGGAATTGTCACTAGTTATAATGAATTGATATTAAAGATAAATACGGTAGGTAGATGACAAGTTAACGTTCGCTTCCAGCGGATGCTGATTTCGCAAACTAGGTAGTTGTTGGTAGTCGTAGTAGTTGGTAGTTGGATTGAATCAAATTGGATGATTCGGTGTTGTTGGTTTGGTTGTTGATTCTTCGTTAGATCTGGTCAGGTCGAATGACATGGCGGTGAAACTCGGTCCTGGATGGTGTGGCGTGAGCTACTCGGTCTCCTTCATTCTTCCAAACTCGTTCTGATCATGGTATTTCTTGTTAATTGGTAGTCGAATGGTAGTCGCTGGTTTTAAAGATAAATACTAAGAGAAGTTAATTATACCACCGGGTATCCATACAACATGTTTTTCTAGACTTATTTATAGATCAAACATTGTACACGAAAATAGGTGACGCATTCTGCCGCCGTTGCTGAGTTGGTTGCTCATGAAATATAGGTCAAAGTGAAGGATTCATAAAGAAAATCGAAATAAACCAATTTTAATTATTTTGTAGGAAACATCTAAGACATAAAAAAAATTTTTCGTTTTTTTATCTTTGACGAAATTCGGTGTTGAATCCTTATATGCACGAAAATAGGTTACATCACTGTATTCTTTTTACATGCTACCTTTTAATTTTTTTAATCGAATTACAGTTTCCACTAAATTAGGGTCTATCAGCTTCATAAAGCTAATGAAAAATTAGAACAGTCTGAAGAGTGGTTTGAGCTTTATCAACTTTGTGCGTAGATTAAGACATTGAAATTGTGGCAACAGCAGCAACAGCTTGAACAAGTCGCCTGTCACTTCTACTGCATGTGTGACATCGAAAGTAACTGGCTCTCTACACATTAAAGATAAGCCCAAGTCACCTGATCATGAAACTGCAATCACTGCAGGTCCACATCACGTTTATCTGATCTATGTTGTCTGTTATGTTGCAGACATCTGTTGATAACAGCAAAGATCATGCAGGGAAGAAAATAAGCTGTATCACATTGCATTGTGTGTTAAAATTTTCAGCTAAATGCAATGTAATTTTCATCAGTACAGCAGCTTTTTTGCGATACAGCTTTTTTTTTGTGATACAGCGTGAGTGGCAAAATACTAACCTTGATGACGGTGGTCACTCAGTGATAGAACTAGAAGCATAATATTTTCTAATAATAAATACTTGTATTTGCTTTTAAACTTATTATCAGATTGTGTAACTTAAACAATGAGAGCCTGTTAATTTGTCACACCTTTGTTTAAATTTCATGAGGACAAAGGAGGTAACTGAAAAATAACTTCTAATGAATATCCATTTGTTTTAGATTGACTGCAAACCTGAGCTAAGATATTATTGGTTAGTTTTGACTTTTCTTAGGGCTGGGCGAATATCGGTTATCTTTAACTTTTCTTAGGACTGGGCAATATTTGTTCATGTGATATTAGTGTATATCACGATATTTATTAAGTACGGGTATGGTTTTTACTGGTTTTTGAAACAAAATGTGGTGTTTTTTATTATCTAAAAAATTTTAACAACAATTAATATATCTCTAAAAAACAAAAAACTCAGTCATCATAAAATAACATCTGTTTCCAATATTCATTGACTTGTTAATTGTGTACATAGATGATCTTATCTGGACAAAAATTTGAAGATATATCACAATACGCTGATATTTCAGTGTTTTTTAATCAGGTGATATTTCTAACAATATACGTTCCTATACGGTACTGGTATAAGATATCATGTGACCAGTATATTGCCCAGCCCTAACTTTTCTTGATTGAGAATTATACCTGTGAAACGTTGAAAATTTTAGACTCTTAAAACATCACAGTAATAAAAACGATATTCAAATATTATATCATTGAGAATATAAGGAGTATAAGAAAAGACATTATTGAAGAAATATTATAAAAAATGTATTTGAAGTGAGGTAAAATACTTTTTTTTTAAACGCAATATTACCACTCAATATTATGGTGTTTGCATTTTGCCAACTTGTTGATTTTTTCGTTGGACAGGCCTTGCATTAATTACGGCAACAGATTAACTCGAGGGTAAGTTTGTACCCTGTAGTGATATCACTGCACTTATTCCGAGTGCAATATTGAAACCCCATAGACATGTGGCGGTTCGATTTTTATTACATCTATTGTTTTACTTGGAGTAGGTAGGTAAAACATTTTAATCATCATGCTTATGAAACGTATATTTTGCAATGTGACCTACGTTTATTTTATGTGATATTTACAATTCAGTAGGCCTAGAGAACAAACAATCAGGGAATTTTACTTGTAGCAATAATGAAGTTAATAACAGCTTATCCACTGAGAATTTTAAAGTAAAGGTAGCTTAGATCACAAAGTCGCACATTTTTGACAACTCGTGATGTAAAAGACTACTAAGGCAGACTGGAGAGACCAGTACATCCCCTATTGCCAAACAAGAAAAAGCTTGCTTTTGTGTTTCCCTGATTAAAGTAAAGTGAAAGTTAGCCACCGATAAATTGCCGTATATAGAAAGGTTTTTTGGTTCCCAAGCCGTAACAGTTTTGCGATTTACACAGTGGAAACTGGCTTTAAAGCCGGCTATTTCCCTCAGTGGAAACTGGAAACACAGGTAATAAGGGCTTGGCTTCATGCATCTGAGGAAAGGATAAATAATTAGGCATACATGATATTCCCTGGAAACGAAAACAAGATGAATGCACAGCAACTTTATCAATCTCTGCTGAACTGAAGGTTTTCAGAGAGTTCAATTACTTGGGCTTAATTCTCACTTGCTGGGAACTGCAACTGTTTGTCTTTTGTTTTTTTACCTTCATCTGACGTGAAGGATCGATTTCAACTTCTTCAAGAGTTTCACAGATAAGCCTACTGAGAAGAACTGTTCTCAGAGCACAGATTTTACTGTAAATGGACACATTTATTGCAGCCTGGTCAGCACAGAGAACAGATATAATAGTGCCTAGTGTAAAATGGGCCAGAATTAAACAGTTGTCTCTTTAGGAAATTTGGTAGATCAAACGGTGGCGCACTATATTTAGCATGCATTAAAGGGACAGATTAGCCACCTGTAAGACCAGTCATACCTTAGTTTCAGAAACGTTTGTCTTAGTTAAGCTAATCATTAACAGTGTAAACAGCTCATGATCAAAATTTAATTTGAGCCTACGAATCTAAGTGTGTTCAGAATTATCTCTCCTTTCTTAAGACTGCCACATATAGAAAAAGATATATGTAGGAAGTGAAATTCCTAGTTTGAGGTACATTTCAAGTACTTCTTAAGACTATCAACGTGTAACACAGTGTGAGTTTATTTATAGTTGTAAAAAGGTTTAAGTAACAAGGGGAGATTTCAATACATCTATTGATCCCTATTTTAAAGTTACTGTAAATAGATATGA